AATTTTCCCCCCGTGATTTTTAGGGAGTGTTTCTGTAATACAAATAATGTCTATCCGCTCGTTTTCAATCACAGTTAATAGTTCACTTCTTTTATTCAAAACGGAATCCGAGTTCGTGTAAAAACATTTTAAAGCTTTTTGTGCACTTTCACTTTGATTCATGCGTTTATTTCGTAACAGAAGCAGAGAAGTAAATTGGAATTATAGGTTAGTTTCATTTTACGTTGCTTTATCCTTTAATTTATAACCGTTCACGAAGAAACTGCAATCCGGAATTACAGAAAAAATAATTCTCTCACGTTGTTTTTGTAATCTGTTTGTGATAAACGGTATCTCAAAAAAAAAAAAAATTTTCTCGGGTACGGGGCATGTGATACAAGAATTTGTTTTCTATGTAATGAGATACCAATTTCCTATGGAGATAAATGTGAATTTGATTAGCAAGCATTAAATATAGTTTTTTCAAAAGTGATTCGTTGGAAATTTTATTTCGGGTCCACGTTTATACCAAATCAAACTTTTCCCGAGTCTTCATGAAATTCCGACAGCAAACCATCCGCGACTGCGGACTGCAGAGTGTGCTCACTGCTCATTCGCGCCGCCTCGCCTCAGTCATAGTCATAGTCAGCCTCATACCGGTTACACCGTTACAGGAGGTGCTTGTTTATTAGTAATGCTGCAGTTGTAGCCAGGTTGTTTACGCGAAAGCATGATCTGTCATGATATCTTGAGTGAGAATAATTTATACTTTGTAATTTATATAATTGAAAGGTTCAAATCTTCATAAAAATATCTGGAATTCAATAATTATTCAATTACTCAAGTAGCCTAGGTACAAGACAAGCTTAGTGACTTAGTCAAGCTAATCATTGTCGTAATGACGTAATGCGACTAACAATTATTTCATTTTTCAGGTTTGAACAAGAACAACTGCTGTCAATCCTGTCATATTTGTCAACAAGTGCAAGAATAAGAAGAGCATCATTTTATTCTATTTTGGGCACCTGAAATATAGTCCGATATGGCTCATCCATTGTTCAGACTTGCTCATCTTATTGGGCAAGCTGGAAACAAACAGATGAAAGCTGCTGCATCTGGATCAACAATTTCATCATCCCTACAGCTACAGATTAGAGTAATTATCAAGTTAATTTAAATGTTAATCTGTTTGAAATATATGAAAAATTATTTGTTTTAAGGGAAATATTATGGAATGGTCTTACTTGATTATGATAGTTGACATTTGGATTTGATTGCACCATACATGCCAGATGGTTAATCTTAGACTCTATTAGTAAGTACATAAGACAATCACTAAGTGGAAAATTGGACAGAAGCCACCTGTGAAGTAGATAGGAGTGCCAGTGGATCTGGCTAATTTCTATGGCCTTTTCCCAATTTTTCTTCAGTGAAAAATGCACACTTTTATCTGTGATTTTCAAAAATCACCCAACCCAAGAAATGATTATTTTTGCAATTTTGCCCAGGATTTCAGGAAAATATTTCCTGTTTTACTATTATAAAGACTTCAAAGGCAAAAATTCTGTAAATTTAAAATTTTGTGGTGGTGGCTCAGTCATTCAGGTTTTATGAAAATTTAGAAAGGAGATAGCCTAATTCTTTTATGGGATTGGGAACAAGCTTGAAAAGTTCCTGTTATGCTCTTCTCACTGACCACTGTATTATTTGAGCTTTCAAGTTACATATTTTAGTAATTTTTAGATATTGTAGCCTAATAATGAAGCTATTTCAAGTATTTGATGGGAAATAATTCATTTAGTGGCCTGTGGAAAATTTGCAGCTCAAAAATGCCAGGAAAGCTCTACTTGCGGCTCAAAAAGTATAAGGATATGTTTTAAATGCCTGACTTCTTGGCAAGGTCATAGTGGCCAATATGAGACTTTTTAGTTGCCTTTTGTATGTGAGCTGCAAGATTAGACCAGCATAAAATGTATCCAGAATTATCTTGTTGGAAATATCAGAAACTGGTTATATAGCAAAACTAAAAATGTTAGCTAAAAATTATCTTGTTTTTCTCTATTTTGAGCCCCACTAGTTTGGGCTGCTTGATATTTGAAGGGCAATGCAGTATCAAAATTCTCTGAATTGTAACCAGAGTTATGTTGTAAATAATATGTAGGAGTTAGATAAAATAAGGAAATGCCTGAGAAATCCACAAAATGTACTTAAGAATGGTATAGGTCCCTCTTTTGTGGCCATTGCTGCCTCAATTCTCTGTGGCATTGATTCATACAAATTATGTTTTGTTTCCAAAGCAATTTTAACCCATTCTTCAGTTGAAATTCCCTCCATCTCTTTCAAAGACGATGTTGGCAGGAATTGACTTCTGACTTGCATCTCTAAAATTGACCATAAAAGCTCGATAATATTCAGGTCTGGTAATTGTGGTGGCCATATGAGATGCTCAATTTCATCAGAATGTTCATCATGCCATTTTTAACAATTCCAGCTGTATGGATCAGGGCATTATCATCTTGAAAAATGGCATTCCCTGCTGGAAGTAGTGCTTGAACTGTCAGATGAAATTGGTCCTCCAAAATTCCTAAATAGTCATGGCTGTTGAAATTATTCTCCTGCCAGATTTCCAAAAAATATCACCCTAAACCATCACAGATCTCCTTCCATGTTTTAGGGTTGGGAGTAGGCAGTCAGGTCTAAATGACTTTTTTGGCTTAAATGTCTTTAAAGTAAACTCAGCCAGACATTGGAAATAAGGTTGGCAATGGTTTGTCAGAGAAAATCACATTTTTCCACTGCTCGAGGGACCAATTCTGGATTTTTTTTAAACCTCCCTCTTAATGCTTTGAAGCATTTGTACTTTAAAACAGAGGTTTTCTAATTGCAGCTTTTTCATAGAATCCAGATTTGTGCAGCTCTGGGCAGACAGTCTTTATGGAAGCTAGGTTCTGTAGGTGTCCATTGGGGTCTGCAGTAATTTAACAGCCATGGTATTTCAATCGTTCCTCACAATTTGATTAAGGTAACTATGGTCTATCTCTAACAACTCTGACTTTGGGCAAACCTGTGCTCTGCTGGGGATGTGTTTCCTTCTCTTTCAAAAGCAGTCATTACTTTTGAGATGGTATCTCTAGAAACGCCTAGCATTTAGGTAGTTTCTGTCACACTAGCACCAGCCATATGGGCACTAACAATTAGGTCTCTTTGAAAGTCAGAGAGGTTTCCCATTTATAGGTTATGGACACCATAATTTACTAAAAATATCTGTGCAAGTATTAAATATCAATTAGCTAAAACAAAGCCCTGATAGTTCTCTCATATTCTACAGACCCCCAGCACCCCCCACATGCATAAACTTGACAAACCAAATATGTGCCAAGCATCTTTTCAATTTCTATCATTGTCTCGGTTTTTGTTCTACTTATAACCAGCTACTCTATTTCTACCTCTAGCACTTTTCCCATATTTCCTAGTGGCACACTCAGTGCTGTTAATCTTCTTTTGCTATTTTGATTTGGGTGTTGGTGCATCACCTAAGATCTTCAGATATTTGCTCACTTCCTGCTCCCTGGGGTCTAGAAACTGACCTTTTTTCAAGTTTATCTTGAACCATCTTGATAATGCAGAAATCAAACTATGCATACCTAGTGATATGGTTTTGAAATCAGTTTCTTGGTTGATCTGTTGAAGGTTTGACACATGATGGAATAAAATGCATCATCTATTATCAATAATAATCTGCTACCTGCATTGATTGCAAAGACTGTTTTTCTGTGTCAATCATTAGCCATTGGCAGGATGGAATTCTGATGATAGAGGTTCATGTATTCTATAATTATTATTATTATTATAACCGCTATTATGATCTAGCTGTATATATCACTTTTTTACTCTAAAAAATCAGCTCAGTTTTAAAAGAAGCATCCACTTTGAAGTCTTTGACACAGACTTCATATATGCTTGTCTGATCATCTATTACTTCTTGAACAATCTCACCTGGATATAGTTCACTGTACACAGCACAGTGATCAGAAATTGAACAAATATCCTTAAATATTAGTCAACGTAACAACATCAAAATTTATGTCTTCAAAAGTTTCTGAGGAAAGCTTCAAAGCCACAATTTTAATTATTTCTCTACACTATAAAGCTGTGACAATTGTATTTCATACATTTCCTTAACAAGAATCATCCAACATAATTTTCACAGGCATATTCACATTGTTGTGAGGGACCCCAGTTTGTGTGCATTGGCAAAGAAATGGGAAATTCCTAACAGGAGGGGAAGGGGGTGCTTTCAAACCCCCTATTCCTGAGTTTAACTCTAAAATGAATGTTTCATTGTTTTTAGTTTTTACATTTACTTTTGGGCACTGAAATGAATGGCTTATTGATTGGCCCATGTTAAGTTTTGGCAAATCAATTAAAATGGCAAAGCAATGAATTAGTACCTACCTACAGTCCTTAGGTTATTTTAATGTTTTAACTATGTAAAATTGTGAAAAACACATTATAAGAGCTTTTTTCACAGTCAACTGCTGTGCTTTTATTATTTTACTGGTAGGTACTGTGTTTTACATGTATATACGGTGGTACACCTTCTGTTTCTATCTGTTGCAAACATTTCCTTCATTTAGTTAGTAAATAAAGACACTAAAGGTTACATGAAAAGATATTTTGAAATGGTAGCTGATTGGGTGATCAAATTTAGACAATTGTTTTTGAAAACCCTGTCACAAACAATCACCTTGTGTCTCATTGAGTGGCAATCCCCATTTCCCAACCAAGTTTACTCTAAAAATATTGTAATTTAAATTTATGAACATCTGTAGTAATGTAACTGGTGAAATAATGTTTTCTTATACTATCCAATGGTACTACTTATGTGTTCCTACTGCAATAATCAAGAATATCAAATTATGGTAATATTTTACAATTTTTTCCCAGCATACACACGTTGTTGAACACTTCACTCCAAAGACTTACCAAACAAGATTTCCTGAAAAGATGCCAGATGCTACTCAGTCGCACAAATTATCTGATCCTCGCTACATTTACAAAACAGTGCGGCAAGAGAACAAGATGAAGCCTGAGCCTTTGAAAGTTCTTCTACTGCAAACTGTTGAAGGTGATATCAAATTCACACGAGTCATGAGTATGAATGCAACTAAATTATTCATTATTGCTTCTTAAGATATTGTGGTTGTTCAAAATTTGGATTCAGTAATTAGTGAACTAAACTTCTTTTTAAACATTTGTGCTCCATGGGTACACAACATAGCCAGTTAGTTTTAAAATCACTTGTTTGCTTGAATCGCAAGTTAACCAGGAATTTAAAAGCAAAGAAAATACCACAAAAATTCACCATATCTTTATAAGAGAAAACGTTTTGGAGTCCAGCTCCATTGTCAATTCAAAACACAAAATTCTGTTCAGAAAAAGTTCAGTCCTAGAAACACAAATAAATCAATTAGTAAAGTAAAATGCACTAAAAATAAATAGATAAGACATGAAAATAATGCTAGTAAACATAAACGGCCTATCTATTTACTATTTCAAGAGGAAAGAAGCTAAAAGGGGCATTTAGACTAGGCTTTTGTTTGAATATATACAGGGATTCTAAAATTCGTAGATCACTAACAATATCTGCCAAATGTCTTCCGGATGTAAATCTTCATGTGTTACTGTTAACAATTTTAGAATCGTTTCGTTTTTCAGGTATAAGGATACCCTACCTGTTCTTATGCGATTGTCACTAGTTTACAGATATAGTTGTCGCATCAGCGTACGTCGGTATGACGGCACGCAATTTCTATACTAGGCTGGCTGAGCATAAGGGCAGGAGTTATAGAACAGGGAACCTACTTGCACATCCACCTCATTCTGCTGTACATGTTCATGCCGAGCAGTGTAACTCCTCTGTATCTGATAGTGATTTCAAAATTCTAGCTTCCGCACCCGGTGTTAGTGATCTGCGAATTTTAGAATCCCTGTATATATTCAAACAAAAGCCTAGTCTAAATGCCGCTTTTAGCTCCTTTCCTCTTGAAATAGTAAATAGATAGGCCGTTTACGTTTACTAGCATTATTTTCATGTCTTATCTATTTATTTTTAGTGCATTTTACTTTACTAATTGATTTATTTGTGTTTCTAGGACTGAACTTTTTCTGAACAGAATTTTGTGTTTTGAACTGACGATGGAGCTGGACTCCAAAACGTTTTCTCTTATAAAGATATGGTGAATTTTTGTGGTATTTTCTTTGCTTTTAAATTCCTAGCCAGTTAGTTATATTAGATAAAATGTATTATTGCCATTCCACGAAGATTGAATTAAATCTTGACATGAGGAATCTAGAAAATTAAATATCTTGTTTCACAGTCATGGGTTTAGAAAATATAATGTATTATCCAATGAGAATAGATGAATTTTCTGTATTCACTGCCTTGCTTTGTTTATCAAGCATGGAAAACACTAATGATTAAGAGAAAGAATGTTTAATGGACCAATCATTCACTGATTAATATTATCTTCTCAGTAGCTCCAATTTTTCTAATATTTTTCTTTTCCATTCTAATCATGTGCATAGAACCATAAATGCCCATACAATGTGATATTATGTCCTTTAAACATTAGCAAGATCATATCATTTCATTCCCTACAGAAGATCATTACATTTCAGAAGATAATATACGTACGTTTTTCTGGCAGGCATTGGTCAAGCTGGAGACGTAGTTAGCTTATCACCATTCAAGGCTCGCAAGAACCTCCTGCTCCCTAAGCTTGGTGTTTATGCTTCACCGGAGAACCTGGAGAAATATGCGCATCTCAAGGAAACTGGCCGAGAAGATCAACCATCATCTATATATGCTAAACAGGTGAGATAAGTTCATGAATTACGTATGTTGTTCAATAATTCTTTGGTATTCATTTCTTTATTTTTCCCATCTGGAAAGATACTCATCTATGTTTGTAAAATTGACTATTTTTCAAAGAGGTTAATTTTCAAACGAGTTTTTCAGAAGAGTTTGGGAAAACCCTTACATGAAGTCACATTCAACTATTTATTTTCATGTATACCGTATCACACGAAATAAAAACCTGATTTATCTAGATTTTTCTATGACATCCTAGAAAATACTTGACCAAACATCGATGTAACTTTATCTACCTATATTGGATACAGGGATACATGCGTTTTGTAATATTTTCAATGAGCTTTTGCATAACTTTCCTCATGTTTTACAGACTGTAGAATTCCTGGGAGGTGCATATGTCACTGTTGTCATGAGCATACACGTGCCCTGGGTCTTGACTGCAGAACATGTGCGCATTTCCATGAGACGGATGGGTATTATTGCGCCCGCCCATGCCATACAATTGCCTCCTAAGCCTCTGGAGGGTCCAAACCTTGACTATCAACAGAAATTTTTCTACGTCACTGTAACGGTGGGCATATTGCTGGGAATATATAGGAATTTATACTGTTACTAGATGAGAAATGATATCCTATTTAACCTTCCAAATAAGCATCTTGCCTCTTGCACAAATGATAACAACAATGACATACTTCTAAATTTCCGCAAAAATTTGCCCTGTCACTCCTCCATCACACCGGAAGTATGTATAAATTGCCCTCAGAGAGCAGTTCCCTGTTTGAGACCCACCGACGTAGCATCTATTTGAACAGATTAGGATAACAGGAAAGTTCCGACATGTTTATTAGCCTATTACTGAGATTATGGGTCATTCTTGGCGATGATAGTTAAATAATCATAATATGAGTAACAGCTCGAAAATTCAATTTCTCCATTATTGTGCAGGTGAATAACAAAGAAAGGGTAAACGTCAGGTGCAGCATCCACCATGTGACTGCGGATTACTCCCGTAAACTGCCCTTCACTTCATTGAACCACATTAATGAACCTCCCATAGCAGTGTTTCCTGAAGACCAGGAGTATCTGACAGCGTTGTACAACCAGCGACCTCCCCTAACAGCATATTCTGAGCCGCAGCTCACCCCGGAGATGGTGGCACAAGGGCTGACCAGCACAAGCCATCTTGACAAAGCAGAATTATTGTCATTTGCCACCCCATCTACGGCTGCAATGCCTGTGGTCTGAAGCAGAAAACCTTCAAGAAATTAGGGAATTGATCAAATAGAAGGTCTTGCAATCAATCGAAATTGCTGATATTCTCTGAAATAATTAGAAAATTTCTTACCAATTTTTCATTAGGCTTCAAATTTACAATGTGGATTTGTTTTACCGCTAACCTTATGCAATGTATAAATAGATACTTCCATCAAAAATTGTTCTGTATCGTTGTCCTCACTAGACTAGATGAGAGGAGAAAATGACAAGGCGAATGGTTGCTTGCAATTTTTTTTTACAGATTACCTTTTCTAAATTACCATTTTTGAATGATCGAATGCACATTGGAGTAAACACAGATCGGTTTCAGATTTCATTAGATTCTTCAAAATTATGACAGATCGCATCGTGATGGATTAAAAACGGTTAGAAGATCAAAGCGAGTTTCAAATTGTCAGCCACAGACCGATTTCTTGACTTTGCATCATTGTTCTGAATCATTGAAGTTGAAAATATAGTAAAAGCCATATGGTTCAGATAAGAAGTAAAGAAACTTTAATCGATGTCGATATAAAATTAACTTGGCTGAAATTTATTGAGGTTTCTCAAGAACTACTTATGTACAAATTCACCCTATATACTGCCATACATGCCTCCTACTGAATTTTTCAAGCTTGGGAGAAAAAGCAAGTTGCAATGTATTTTGAAGCTTCAAGCCAAGAAGGCAGTGTAGGTAGAAGCATAATGCAACAAGGTTTATTAGAGAAGATTTAGAAAAGTGTTATAACTGACATCAGCTAAAATTATGGATCCCAGGAATCAGAATGGCTCACTGTCATGTATCTTTCATCCAAAGTAACATCTGGTCTCTTTTTTGCAAAGGCTTCCTGTTCTTCTAACAACTTTTTCTTGAATTCCAATTTTTGTGAGTCATGAAGAGCTTCCTCATGTCCAAATGATTCTTTCTGAAAAGTATATTTAAATTCAATACATTAGCTTTTACATGCTGAATAAGAAGATTTAGGCTTTTGGATTATATTTCCAAAACTAAAAGTACCATTTCATGCACTAATAAAATGCAAGACGCTCATGATATAGTACTCACAAGCTTAGTTATTGACAATTAATTATTGATTCAACTCAATATACACAACATGAAAGCCAATAGAAGAAACGTTACAATCTACTTCACAGCTATGATTTCAAATATAACTGACAATACTCAGGTAGGGGTGTCGCAGTAGAAGTATATTCCGTTCCGTGCGGGCAATATCTTCTCGAGCAATTTTCAAGTCAGCTCGGGTGATCCTTGGATAAATCCGATTTTTTCTGAAAAAATCAATAGCAGTGCTAAAAGTGTTAGGATTTCAAGAGATCAGATACCTAGATGTGGCCAAAATTAGCAATGAGATGCTGCAAAATTAAGCCTCATAGAAATCAGTAACCATTAAAGATTTAAAGTGCTAGCTTGAACATAAGTTGCTGTCCATGAGGTCTCAAACATTTGATATTCAATAAGGTGTTAGATACCAATTTATTGATAAGAAGTAGCAATACTATTGAGTTTAAATACACAATCTATTACTGTCCAAAAAAATTATTCATGGGTTAGGATAAATGATGAACATAACTTCCAGAAAGTAGCATTTGCCCGTCCGTAAAAAATTCCCAGGAGTTAATGATAACTATTAGAAGCCTTGAATATTTGCATCATTGTATGGTTTTAATCTGAGGATTGATTGGTTATTATTGAGTCAAAGGAACAAGCCAAAGGTCCTCAATTCTCAACCTCTGAAATATTACAATACAAATTTTCTAATTAGGTATAAAATCTATAAATCATTAAATCATGATCAAAATGCCAAAACGAAAGTGGCAACTAGCTTTATTCACAATTAGATTATTGACTCAACAAATTAAATTAGTTGTGATGATACTTTAGAGTTGATGCAAATATAAATTATTTATTTCATAAATGAGTTATATTTTGAGGTCAAACAAAGACAAATTGAATTAATTGGGTTGTTTGACCTACAGGCAGAAAAGTCATCACGGCCTTTTACTCATTACCATACATACAACACCATATAAAGATGTAAAATATTCATTTAGTTGTACATTACTAATACAGGAAAATCTTGAAAGTTTACAACAAAATACTTATTCACTGCTGAAAAAACTGGCAAAAGACACCTATGACTGAGGCAAAAAAAAGCCCTTGCTTGCAAATATGAATGTCACATATTCGCCAACAGTGCTCATAAATCACAAAAAAAATTTACTTACAATTTTTGAAAAATTCTGCTCAATATTCCAGATGGTCATCATTAAATTCTGATATATCTTTCTCTTTTTGAAAATTACATGTAAAAATATGATTTTTTTGTAATTTTTGAAGAAAATTTGGCAAGAACTGTAGGATTATTTAAAATTATCAATGAGAACAAATATTTTTGTTTCATTACTTACCACTAGATTGCTTCTACCAAATTTTCCAGTTCAGATTGATGTTAAAAGATTCTCTAGTAATGTTGTTTATAAGATTTGTAAAATTTCCATTTGAGCAAGTGAATAAATTACATTGGCAACTGAAGTTTGAACTTATTCTTATTTACTGTAGAGACTAATTTGAGAGTCCAGCTTACCCTATATCAATTTTTCCAGGTGCTATCTGTTTCAAGAGGCAGCTGAAGAGTCTCATGTTTGATTAGGGGATGACTCCAGTGGCCTGAAAAGTACAAATTACAATTAAATTAAATTCTATCAATCATAACATCATTATCAACATTTTACAATAAAAAATAAAATATCACCTTTCAAATTTACTGCAGAGCTTTTTATTCTATTTCAGGCATGGAATATATCTACTTGGCAACTTGGCAAGCCGTGACTGGATTTTTCGAGCCGTGGCCTCAAGGGTTTGCCAGCCGTGTTTTCATTTCTTTGAGGCAGTGCTTCATGGGTTTGCCAGCCATGATTCCATTTCTTTGAGCCATGAATTCTTTATCTTGACCCACTATGCAGAGGGTGGATGCAGCGTCGGCAATATATGGATTTTTAAGCCCAAAGCGTCTTAAATGTGTCGGCAAGATCTTGTGAAGGCGAAAATTTTGCCGATAATGCGTCGCCGTAGGTCTTTAAATCTTCGTTCACTCTCTGCACAGTGGATCTTGACCATGAAAAGCTATTTAAGACCCCCAAACTTATTATTTACAAAGTCCCATAAAAAAACAGTCACTAGCAGTCTAGCATTTGTCTTCACTTAAGTTAAGTGGCAACTGATCAACTCAAGTGATAAATGATACTGCAGTAGGTGACCACACTGATGTGAGTCACGTGACCGCAACTATGCAATCTTCATGGAGGAAATGTTTTGAGTTGACTTGTTATTACAATCTGCATGCTATTTTGGCTGGAGGTGGCAGCATTGAAGTATGTATATTGTATACTACTGCAGATAGCAAAAGTTGAAAATTTTGTGAAATGACACGTTTGTCGTTTCAGGAGCAATTTTTTCAATCAAACAAAAATTTATGACATTAGAATTTATACTACTGAAATTAGGTACATGCAGGGTGGAATTCTAGAAATGGAAGTTCACTTACATGGTGGAATTCTAACATATAGTGCTCAAAGGTACTTGTGGGCGGAGTCATGTCATCTCTCATCTGTGAGTGGGCGGAGTCATGTCATCTCCCTATCAACCAATCACAGCTAGAAAGCAGATAACATTACAATTCCATTAACCAATCACAGCTGGAAAGCTGGAAGGGGCTAAAATCACAATCCCATCAACCAATCAGGCAATCACAGCTGGAAAGTGATAGGTTATGTATATGATATGATGGACTGAAAGTGCAAAGTTCCTGGCCTTTCCAAGCTTTCAGGTCATGCTTTCCAATATGCTATGTGTACTGGTTAATTTAATATCCCTCTAGAATTCCACACTGGGTACATGATATTAAAGCAGCAATATTTCAGAAAAAATATGACTTTTCCAGCCCTGTTCTATTAACCAAAATTTAATGGTCAGGACTCAACCTCACTCAGGCCTATGTAAGTAAGAAATATTCCTGGCAGAATTAATGTATGTAGTTAATAGTTATTACAATTACTTATTACGTTAAGTCGTTAAATGTTTATTGAGCGTCTCTGCAGACTGCAATAACTGCATCAGTGCATCTGAGACTGAGCATGCTAATGTGAGTCTGACTGTCTGAGACCCACATCACATTAGGGATTAGGCTACCATTCCATAGGCTGGTTATGCCGGTAAGTTGTAGATTAATTATTTGCTCAATTGCTTATTCAAATTGCTTGCAAGTTGCAGGTGGCAAATTTAAGAGGTTAGAGGTATCACTATCAGGTATGAGTCTATCAACTTAAATATTTGACAGCTATGTTGATAATGAAGTTGAACTTAAATAATACCGAGTTACATACGGCTTACGTTGATGCCGAAACCTGATTATCAATTATCGTTGATGCCGAAACCTGTTTGATAATGGAAAGCCTGAAACTAAATTTACTAACCAAAAGTGGGAACAGAGCCGTGGACCAATTTCGAATCTCATCCTGAGTCGCGGAAAAACGTGAAGAAAAAGACTTGAGTATTTTTTGCTTTGATAAAGTTAGGAAAAAGTTTTTAGCCTATAATTTTTTTGACGCAAATTTGGCGATAATAAAGTGTGCTCTAGTCTGGAGTCATTATTGCCATGCTTTAATTATCAATAACTGCTCCATATTATTTAATTCAATGAACTTAGCGATTAATTTTTTCTGATACTTTTGATTACCAATGATCTTCATAAATCCTCGTTTCATTGAAGTATTGAAAATCTGCCAGTCTTATAAACTATTTATTACAGAAAAGAATTCAGGATTTAAAAAATTTCAAACTTGAAGTTTACATTGTAAAATGACGGAAAGACCGGATCGTAATAAATTTATCCACTGCATTATTTTACGAATTTTAGATACACTTGAACCAAACAACATGGAGAATTTGCTCGAGGCAAACGGTATATATCCTCGAAAGTTATTGGTACAGTATGAAGTAGGTATACAGGATAGACAGCGACACATCCGCGTTCACGAATTGAAAATAGTGGGTAGAACTATATATATATCTTCATACAGATCAGGGAGATGATAGTTTGAATCCTTTCATATATATTCTCTGATGAATTTTCATTGGCTTAATAGCCATACGATGTCAAACGAACACAGGGACAGAAAATAATATATCTCAGGTGAATCATCAGGCTAGACTTAGATTGATTCAAGGTCTTTTAGGAGGCACGTCTCACCTGGAGCTGGTCTAGTCATGGGTGCCCCACTCTCGGCCCACTCAGTGAGGCTCGTGCCTTTGACTGAAAAGGAGTGAGTTGACTTTCACTCGCAAGGTATAAAGGCTATGGGTTGTGAATCAATTCAACTGCTAATGAAATACTTATTTTGCTCAGTCTCCTGTGAATTATTTTTATAATACTTATAGAATAATGGTACAAGCAAAAGTAATAAGACATTCCATGTTGGCACTAATAGTGACGTAGCATGGACACTAGTAATACTCTCGGCGCGATGAAGTCACCTTTGTTGGCTCCAGGAGTTTCGTCATAGATAACTGAAGCTATATACGAGTCTATAACTTAAAAATATGCATATTTGAGTCTTTGATGATAAATTTAAACGAAATGTTCGAGAAGATAAGCATTAGTTAGAGAAAACACTACTGTATATATTGCAGTAAGTGTAAATTATTATCCAACCTCTCGTCGTCATTTTTAAGCTTCCATTCGTTTAACTGTTGTTTGGTTCTGATGTATTCCTAACTAAATTATATAATCCTCATCTTACAGATGCGGAGACAGATTTTAATCTTCTTAGCGGTCATCGCAGTGTCTCGAGCGGTAAGTATTTGCAGGAACTTTATTTTCGCGCGACCTTGCCTCAATATTATTTACAAGTTCCGGAATGAAGTACGGATGTACGAAATTTTTTTTATCATAATCTGAATGATTATTGTGCTAGCCTCTGAGTATCTCTGAAATGCGAGAAATTACATATTTTTAAAGTTTTCATTGCTATAAGAGAAGATTCTATAGATGAATTCGGATTGAATATATGAACATTAAATTTCATATAAATAACATAAAGCGGTTCAAATTAAAAGCGTTATCCTGGCTTCATGTTTATTTTTAAATTAATCTACCAGAGAAAACTCCCAGAATTATTTATCTACTATGGAAATATCATACATTCCATGAAAGTTTTATCAAATTTTTATTCCGAATTCACTCGCAAGAATTCCTGTGCTCTTAGCAAACGACAATATTGAGATAAGAAGCGCGCTGTTGTTGAACAGTCTGCCCTACAAGGGCTTTGTAAGCGATAAATTTCTTACGGTTGACGAAATAAATGGACTTATTTTTTTGTTCGTTGTCTGAACGTTGGAGGACTCTATGCTTAAGCTTATTAGAAAATCGAAAGTTCTTACCTCTTAAATTAATGTTTTACCAGCGTACAAAGCGTGCGGTTAGTGAATTGATTCGATATATGATTTATTTTTGAGATTTGTATTCTGGCGGCATTTGTGAATAAAATTTAAATTTAAGTTAAATGTAATGGAGTGCAACGCTATCGTTTCACAGAAGTTCATGAAATAAATCATTTGCCTATTGTAAACCCTGACAATGTTTGTGTTTCTGTGTTCGTATACTAGTTGGTATAAAATTATTATATTAAACTGGTTAAGTTACGTTAACATTCCAAATAAGTCTAACAAGTGTATAGCTACTCAATTGTTTTTGCAAGTTCAGCCAGTTTCAATATTGTAACACGACTAACCACTTTATATTAGTAACTATTTTCATTTTTCTACTATTTTCATTACTATTTTCATTTCAAACCCTGATTTGCCGTCTCACTAGTGAAATCATTTGTTCTTTTTTTTTTTTTGATCTCACGAAACAGTTTTATTTTTTATAATTTAAATCGTAGATGCTAAGCAGATCAAGATTTTAAACGCATCTTACGTATTCGTTTATTCTGATCTAAAAATTCACATGCTCAATCACAAGACAGTCGAGTTTTAACTAAAATTTTTTCTTTTCAGATGACGCTCGACAAAAATCGTGAGTATTTATAAACTACTTTATGTGAACAAATTAATACACAAGAAAATCAATTTGTGAATAATTTTTTCGCAGCGATATAAAATAACGAAAATTATGATGTTGATTGATTTTAGGTTCATTTAATTTCCGTTTTGATGTAAAGCAATTTATTGGGATTTTAGTTTCATTTTAGACACACTATTTCATGATACTTCACTCACCCGTACCTCTTCAGATTCTCAATTTGTTAACTTAACGCCCTGGCATTACTTACGCCTATCGACGTTCACACTTCGCGCATCCTTATCAGTTTCGTCTCTTAATTTGCACGCTTCGCATTCTTACGTCACTTCCGTTACTCAATTTGCTCTCTTTGCATTCTTGCGTCACTTCCGTTACTCAATTTGCTCACTTTGCATTCTTACGTCACTTCCGTTACTCAATTTGCTCTCTTTGCATTCTTGCGTCACTTCCGTTACTCAATTTGCTCACTTTGCATTCTTGCGTCACTTCCGTTACTCAATTTGCTCTCTTTGCATTCTTGCGTCACTTCCGTTACTCAATTTGCTCACTTTGCATTCTTACGTCACTTCCGTTTCTCAATTCGCACACTTCGTATTTATGTGTCACTTCCGTTATTTAATTTGCTCACTTTGCATTCTATCGTCACTTCCATTTCTCAATTTGCGAACTATACACGCATGGGTCTCTTACGTTGTCCAATTTGCACGCTTCATACGTCCATATCATTCCTGCGTCACGATTTGAACACTGCACTCATGGATGATATTATTTCCAACTTCAATTCCATCTTCCCAAGACTATTAACTCCAATCGTCCGTTTCACGTTACGCATCACATCACGATATGCATATTGTTTAAATATAAAACTATATATGTTTAAACATTAAACATCTATTTATTTTCCACTTCATGATGTACGCGCTTGACACATGCATTTACTTGTCCACCTCGCGATACACGCGCTTTATTTATCCGCTTTCTCTGTCACCTCACGATTTCATCGTTTTATACGTGACAGTCCGCACATCTTCAAACAGTCCGCATTTTCAAACGGTGAACGCGCTTACCATCGATTAACCTTGTTTTTCACACACTCCAAATGACCGCCAATTACTTTCATCTCATAAACTTTATAATCAAAATACTATTCATCATTGCCATCTTGAAATATACACGCTCAGCATCCTTTTCGCCTTTGGGTTTTTACACATGCCATCACTTCCACCTTGGAATTTATTTATTCTTTTCTCCATCACAATTTGTACACTAGAACAGGGGTATCACTAGGTTTCAAGGGCTGAAGCCCGCTATAATAGGATTGATGACACCACTGCTCTAGGTAAAAATATTAAGTAAAGTTTATTGCCCATTTAGGCGCCACGGACTCATGTGACCGAGTCGTGTGCCGAGCTGGGCGTGAGTGCGTCATGTCAGGCGGGGAGTCGCAATGCGTGTGCGTCACGCGCTGCCCCGACCACTACAAGCCCGTCTGCGGCTCCGACGACAGATCGTACGACAACTACTGCCTGCTGCACCAGCGTGCCTGCCTAACCGTCAGTTATCTAACCTAACCTAACTTCATCTCGTCTACCGTTAATGCCGATAACGTTACCTACTTACATAAGCCGCCGGCCTTTAATATTAACGATAAATTTTATAAACTGAACCACTACATTTTAGCGCGATCAATACAGCTTCTTAGTCATCTTGTGGTTATCAAACCGTACAATAATCGTAATTCTTACCAGTATTTTACGGTTTTTTAGTGACTAGCGACGAGGTAAGGATAGTTTTTGCTTGCTGAGTGGCGACTTATATTGACTTTACAGTACCGCATTTACTGAACGATTGATTGCAATTTCTTTTCTATCGTTGTTATTGGATTGAAGTTTTATCACCGTAGAAGTGTCGATTCGGTAGTTTTAACCTGCTATTTGCATAATCAATTTAAGCGTATAAATTGTACTAGGCCTATCATTTTGATGTATTAAATTACTGTATTCAGTATTAGAATGTGTCAATTTTGCCTAATTCCATCGTTGTGTGTGGACTCTATATTATATTATTGACTATGGTATACTAAGGTTACTAATTTAATGTTATCATATTACTAGTACAGAGAATACAAATTTATTATTTAGATTGAAATTTAAATTCTTCTTAGTCGATTTTAGAAAGAAGTTTAGTTCGAATGCTTTTTAACCTGCGAGAGTTGCCTCGCTGTAATCAGTCCACAATACTATCTATTGACTTTTCAAAAAATTTCTATCATTATTTGGCTCAAATTATATTTTAAACCGATTATCCACTACAAATAATTCTCTGAATAATCCTTCAAAGGACGTTCCTTTTCAATGACTTTTTTTTTGCTGCAAAAAACTCGGAGATTATTGCGAGGTAACTCAGTTTGAATGTATTTTTCTTGGTACATTGAACTCGTACATCAATTTTGTTTTATGATTATATTAAGCTAATGTTTTTCTCTCCATTAACTGCGTGCATTTATACAGGGTGAACCCATAAGCGTGGAGCACACAGGATATTGTGAGCGGGATATCCAATTAGCAATGAAGGAGTTCGGGATCACCACGACCCGTGCCACCACCGTCGTCACCACCACTCCATCACCCCACGTTTCCACCACCACCGAAGAGAGACTTTGTGAGTGATATTTTGAAGGTATTTTCGGTCTATGCTGTTTTTAAATGAAATATAACATGCACATCTTCTATATCAATGGTTATCACTAGGTTTATTTAATAATTGTGTATACATTACATGGATAAAATTGCAAATGATTTGTCCACACCAGCTGTGTGCTACGGACCACAACGGGATGCTATGCGCAACACAGTCATCAGCCACTGGCAGCGCAACATCCAGCTGCAGCCGTGGCACACAGCCAACATGACCTACAGGTGCGTTGACATCCAGCTACAGCCGTGGCACACAGCCAACATGACCTACAGGTGCGTTTACATCCAGCTGCCGCCTTGGCACACAACCAACATGGCCTACAGGTGCGTTGACATCCAGCTGCCGCTTTATCAAAAGGATATACTACGGGGATCTACAAAAGGATCTACAATACAACAATTATAATCCCTACAAGAGTAAATTTTTTAAATTAGATCAACAACATATCATATTTAAATATTTCGGAGTATTGCTTTTCCATACATCCCTTTACGATGAGTTTTCACTTTACGATCTCACTTCGTGAGACGAATGCGTTTTGTAATATATATCATGTCATTAATTTCAGTTTCTCCAACATTAAATTCATAAATGCTCATATAATTTGTTTGTTTAAATCGTAAGTTAAACCAGTTAAGTGAACGTAAGTAAAGGTAAATTTGTACGCAAAATCTATAGCCATATTCGATTTTGAATTTTGATTAAATTTAGATTTGAAAAATTGAACTGTTGATGGAGCTGGTTTCTGAAACCTTAATGAAGAGTTTATGAATTTTTTCTCGCTCTTTTCGTTGCTTTTACATTATTCTAAAGTTCTCAGATGCCTAGACGTTAACTTTATTGAAATAAAGCATGACCTAAGCTTCTCATGTAAAAAAATATTCTCAGCATTTTACAGTGGTAACAGTTCAGAGTACCATGATTGGAGCAGAGAGGCGCGGGTTCGATCCCAGCTCTGTGCGCCAGTTTCTGGTCAAAATCGGCAAGGAGGCCGGGCGGTTAAGCAAAGCAGAATTGTAGCAGTGAGTTGCGAGTTCGAGACCGCAAAATGCTGTGAATGTTCTGCGATGTTAAGAATCGGCGACAGGCCTACGGCCTACTAAACGCTGAAACCGCTATTGTTATTATATTGTACACCAGGGAGTCGCTGGAAGGTCACTTCTTCGCGTGTGACAGCAACCGCGACTACGCGCTGCGACCCTCTGAGCTGCTCGACTGCCTCTCGACCGTGCCATTCCTGCCCAGACCTGAGCAAGACCTTACGGTTACTAGGTGGCAACTCCATGGAGAATTAAATTTAATTTTAAATAATAGAGAATATAAATAATATATATAAATATAATTAAAAAAATTATTATATTAAATGTATTAATTTTTTAATCATATATAATATATAACTTTTATTATTATTATTATTATTATTAATATTTAACTATAATATATAACTTTTCTCTCAGAATTTAAGTAAATAATTCACTTTTAAAATATGTAGTGTTACCACATGGTTGTATTTAATCCTTGTCTGACTGCATATGTACAATTGTACCACCACTCGGTACGATTGTAACGTATAAAATAATGCAGCCTGACGAGGGTTAAATGTGCACCATACTCAGCACGTTTAGCAATTATGAATTGCTGGAAAATACATAAAAGGCTTGCCGTTCAACCGGGAGTTTCGAGGTTTACTCTTTACTCCAGAATTAATAAGTAGGCAAACTACCAAGAACTTACGCAGGATAAATCACCATGCACTCACTATTACTAATGAAGACCCTAAAAAATATAACTCAGTACTCACTGCAGTGAGTGACAGAGAGCGCATTTTCTCGTCGACGAAAACTTGAGGTCACGGACGGACAGACAGACGGACAGTTCAGGAGAAAGTTAGAGTTGAATAACGATTATCTCAGGAGAAAGTTAGAGTTGAATAATGATTATCTCAGGAAAAAGTTAGATTTTAATAGTGATTATCTCAAAAGAAAGTTAGAGTTGAATAATGATTATCTCAAAAGAAAGTTAAAGTTGAATAATGATTATCTCAAAAGAAAGTTAGAGTTGAATAATAATTATCTCAAAAGAAAGTTAAAGTTGAATAATGGTTATCTCAAAAGAAATTTAGAGTTGAATAAGTTTGTGCGCAGGACGCTGTGTGTGGACGCCCTCCTAGAGCTGGTCGACAGCAACAGGGACTGGCGGCTCAGCCTGCAGGAGTTCATGCACTTGTTGGACCCGCTCTACCATCCCATCGAGAAGCGTAAGTTTCTTTATATCTAAATATTTTCTTTTATATGAGTAAGAAATTTTTGTTAATTTGTGTTTTCCAACATAACGGTGAGCCTCAGATACTACTAATTAATCTGTGACCTAATACAGGTTACATTTGTCCTAGAGCCAGACCTTAGGAGTAAGGTAACCTAAACCTTAGAACTAAGGTAACCTAGACCTTAGAATTAAGGTAACCTAGACCTTAGGACTAAGGTAACCTAGACCTTAGGACTAAGGTAACCTAGAACTTAGGATTAAGGTAACCTAGACCTTAGCACCAAGGTAACCTAGACCTTGAGACATAAGGTAACCTAGACCTTAGGACCAAGGCAACCTAGACCTTAATACTAAGGTCAGTAAACCTAAGATCTACTACTTTATCTAGGTTAACTTTCTATGAATGGCACAGCAAACAGATATAGATTATCGAAGACATAGGGAGAACATAGAAAATCTTCACTAACATATAAATTTTTGCGAACAAGATGATGCAAGTTGTATCAATGGCACGTTTCGAACACAACACCAAGTTTGACTGCATGGAAAATTTGAAAATCTGTTTACTAGCTTTCACGCAAATTAGTTCTAGCACTCTGCTGAAAAACGACAGCTTCCTGATTATCAATTAATATCGATGTGTATTATGGTTGCTTGCTTGTTCATTACACACAACCCACAAATTATTGAAATTATTGCATGTATTTTTTTGTAAATCGCATTCACACTTTTTCCAGATTGCTCGCTTGAAGGAAAAGCTTACGATGAAGGTGCAGAAGTTCGAGTCGAATGCAATCATTGGTAAGAAAGTAAATAAATATATCGGTTAAATAAAAGCCCAGCACGAGATTTTATCATAATGTGTGTCATATGACATATTATTATTTTGAACTTTTCTTAATGTTCGTTAGGAAAACAATGCTAAGATAGAACTATAGAACCTTTAAAAAATCGGTGTGTGCTTAAAAATTTATGACAAGCCACAATAAAAAAATTAATTCAAAGGTTATAGAATGAAAGTTACCTTCCGTATTACCTACCTTTAAATTCGATTAAATCATTGTTCTCGACAGTATATGTGCCACCGGAAGCTGGGTGTGTGCCACGCACAGCTGCCCGCCTAAGGATACGAAACCCAAGGAGAAGGACGACTCCTTCGGATACATGGACACCAAGTACGACCTCAAGAATACCATCGACAAGGACGAAGAACTCGATGATGATGATGATTATGACGAAGATGACGATGATTATGACGATGAAGAGGACGAATCTCCAGAAAATAAAGAATCCGCTAGAAAAAGTGCCAAGAAAGGATCCGACTTGTTGAACGCTTCCGACAAGAAGAAGCTGGATCACTTGGAAAACAATATCCGCAAATTCTACTCTGATTTGGAAAAGTGGGAGAGCCCAAAATCTAAAAACAAAACAATTGCTGGTACCAGCACTTCGCCAAACACCATTCATGAGGACTCATCGTCAATGTCGGAAGAATCCGATGAAACTTCATCGGAAGAAGAAGAGGACGACCTCCTTGACCAGTATGACGATTTGCTGGAACGAAGTCAACGAATAAGGGACAGACTACGAGCCATCCGGACATCTATTAGCAATATTGAAAATCACAGGCAGCTTCCGACTACTCGAACTACTACCCCATATCCTAGTCGTTTGGGTCTTTTGCAGTCCACTACTACAACCAAACCCGCTAGGTTGGATCATTCAGGCTTGAACTCCATCAATCACAGCCGTGCACCGATCAGCCGAAAACATGAAAAGTACCAGCAATACCAAGAAGCTCTCCGTCGTAAGCAAGACAGGCGCAGACTTGCGTCTCAGACCGACAACGATATTTGGGAGGATCAATGGAAGGCTAAAATACAGAAGCATCACCACGAGCGACTCGGTAACGCTCTGTGAGAAACCGGTGTGGTTTTACCGTCATACGAGTCGAAGAAAAAATGGAGAGAATAATAAAACTCAAAAAAATTTTCGAGGTTTTAAGAACAAAACAGATCATGAAAATCTAAAAAATTTCTTTTCCTAGGTGGATTTTGATATTTTAATTGCTTTGCAAGAATTGAATTAAAAAAAAAAACACAGTGTGGGCTCCACACAACCCTTCCAGTGTCTACTCAAGTTATATAATTGGGTAATAGTTTTAGTTTGGAGTTTTACTTATCAGTAATCCCAGCGGTTTATTGATTAAATTGTAATAATGCCTATTTTCAGTTTCCACTCAGTAAAATGCCCTATTAGTCTCATTATTCGTTCATATCGCTACGATGTGCAGTATACATGTATTAATCATTACGTTGTATTGCTATCGATGCCTATAGCTCACTCATAGCTCCTTACCCGTAGTTTTTGTCGGAATTTAAAATAGTCTTAGCGATGTAATTTAGCTAGACAACTCATACATTCCTTAATACGTTTAAGTTCATTTAGGTCGCTATTTATCACAAAAATATTTTTTTTGTAATAAGATGTATTTGATCGCCGAGAAATATGCTAAAGTCCCTGGCTGAATCATTAAACATTTATTATTCAGAAAAAACAACATTTGAACTTCTTTGTTTTATTAATATTTGATATCTTGCTTTCTAACTCCCCGAATGTTCCCTTTTATACAAACAATTCCAAACGAGTGAATTTCGCTAGCTATTGTCCTTAATTAAACGCTTTCCCGCTAACGCTTCATCCTTCAAGAAAATTGTATCCTTAAAAACTAACCTGAGTGTTCCTACATTGATATATAATGGATATTCTGATGGCGTTTTTATCCTTCATTGGGGTTCAAGGAAGAGAGTTCTGCCTTGACTATGTTGAGGAATTTAGACCCTAATAGAATTCTCAGAGGAAAAAATACTCCATCGCTCCTATAGCTTAAACTATTTTTCCATCATATAGAGATTGTATTTTGTTATAATTTCCTTTCCAAATATATTGATGAGTCTTAGAAGTCCTGTAGGAAGTTTTCGTTTGTCAAGGCAACCCTGAGACCTAAAGTTTAATAATTAAAACTCCGCGTAACCATGGAAACGGAAGCTCCTGTGTAACCATGGAAACGAGTCTCTCATGATTCTACGCTGTAACGTCTAGGGCTCTAGGCGATGTCTATTAGCTTAAACAGTGTGCGGAGATTTGATTGTAGAAAAAATGGCGGTATAGGTTCAAGGAGCCGAGTAATGTTTCATAAAATGCTGAAGCCTCTTTTTGATGAAACCATTGTAAATTAAACCTCTTAAAAACCATTCAAATATCAATAATTTGCATTCATATACACTGATGATTTGAGACTAGTCTTAAAAGTCTAACCGAGTGACATGAAGTATTCATAGCGTGTCCCTGATAGTAATTTTGTGGTTTTGTTGGGATTATCAGGTAGACATGAAGGTGAGATTTATACCTCAGAAATTAGTGTTTAACCTTTGCTACAAATCTTAAAAACAAAACATTGAAAAGGGTCCCTAGTGATGAGTTTATTGATAACCTTACAAAAAATTGAAAAGGGTCCATAGTGATGAGTCTATTGATAACCTTGCAGGCATTGATAATCTTGACGATTATAGAAATCTGAACGCTAAATAACAGGCCAATTAAAAACAATAATGAAAATAAATGAATTTATACATAACCCTTCCAGAATTCCTCCAACTCGACCCTTGGTGCCCGTAAGAAGGCCGAAGCGTTGCAATTACAGCTGGAACTGACGACAGACGAAGAGTGGGAAGCTGTCGTGAACAGACCTGGTCTCATCGGTGAGTTCTTTAGCGAAGAATTCTCTTCCGTCGTAATGCGCGAGACAGCGTTCACTTGAACACTGTAATGAGTGAGACAGCGTTCACTTGAACACTGTAATGAGTGAGACAGCGTTCACTTGAACACTGTAATGAGTGAGACAGCGTTCACTTGAACACTGTAATGAGTGAGACAGCGTTCACTTGAACACTGTAATGAGTGAGACAGCGTTCACTTGAACACTGTAATGAGTGNACACCACAGTACGTGAGACAGCCCTCACCTGTACACCACAGTGCGTGAGACAGCCCTCACTTGTACACCACAGTGCGTGAGACAGCCCTCACTTTAAAACATCTCTCACACGAGTAAAAGATAACCATTGTTATCAGTAAAATTCATTAAAAAGGAGTATTGCTGTTGCTTTGCATCAAAGTCCCTAGCTTTTAAATGGGCATGATATTGGCTAGACGGATGAAGTTCGTGACTCCGTAGCACTGGTGCAGGACACCACAGTGTGTGATGGTGCTTGTTTGCAGTGGTGGACGTGTACAGTGCGTGGTGCGGACCATGCACCAGTATGCTGCACACTCTCAGGCGTATCAAACTCGAGCTCGGAGACGACCTCCTGACTATGGCAACGGTGAGTACAAAGCATTTTATTCTGAGGGGTAACTCGAAGGAAAAATCGTTTAGCTTAAGTTAGGAATTTTTGTCATAGTTTATAACGATTAAATCTCACAAAAGAATTAATTCAGTATTTCCTTCAGTTATTTCCCTAGGTTCATTTTGCAAATATGTGATAAAATTCACTTCAAAGCTTTTAAAAAAGTTGGAATATCAAACATAAGTATATTGCAAGGAAATGATTATTGCATCTCCTGTAGTATATTGAAAAAATTTCTTACAAATGTATCGAATATTTTTGAGGAAAACATAAGAAGAAATTTTAGATTCCCTGATCAAGCAAGAATATTCTCATCTAATCATCTCGATCATTGCGACTGAGATTTTAATCACGAATTTTTGAAGTAAAATTGAAAAGAGTTAATTTGGCAGCATAATATAATGTTTTAAATTGATATATCCGAAAAAAATTTCTTGCAAACGTATGGAGTCCTCTATAAAGCTTTTATTGTAACTATAGTAAGTTTTATTAATGACCCAGTGGGAGGGCAGGGTGGCCCAGGGGTTACAGTTCAGGGACCATACTTTCAAAACTCGCTAAGTGAACGTAAGTTCTTACGCTCTATTTTCTTGTCTATGAATGGTGGATTTTGCTTGAAAAGCCGTCAATGATTGGCTGATGAACTTACGATCTCTTAACTTTTTTTTAAAGTACAGGACCAGAGTACCAAGATTGGCGCAGAGAGGCGCGGGTTCGATCCCAGCTCTGTGCGCCAGTTTCTGGTCAGAATCGGCAAGGAGGCCGGGCGGTTAAGCACAGCAGAATTGTAGCAGTGAGTTGCGAGTTCGAGACCGCAAAATGCTGTGAATGTTCTGCGATGTTAAGAATTTTGCGACTGGCCTACAGTCTAATAAACGCTGAAACCGCTATTACTATTATTAATATTATCGTTATTATTATAATTATTATTATTATTATTAATATTTTGTTATTATTATTAAAATTGATGGTATATTTGCACGTCTGGCAGGCGTGCTCTGACACCATCTCGGCGTTCGAGAAATTCCGTATGAAAGCTGAACCAACATGGCTCTTCTTTGGGGTGAGTTACTCAGTGAAGTTAAAATCAACTTCTGTCTAATTCGGCTAAGATTTTGAATATTTATACGGATTTTTTATAATGTTAATATTGAGATTAATAATAATATCATGTCCGAAGACATGACTTTGAAAGAATTGTGTAATTTTAGGCACGCAAGAAATGGACAGTGGGAAGTGAATGTTTTGCTTCTCTGAAAAAGATGGAGATTCACTTTTATTATAATGTGAACTCCATTTATTCGAGTATTTTGCCACCATATAAGGCCTTTAGCATCACTCTAAGAGAAATATAACACTTATAAGTACGATGGTGGCAATAGAAATGGAACAGTTGACGATAACTATCGAAATTTGGGAACTCCCTTGAATCTGCATCACGGAATCTTAAGACGACTAGGCGCCTTGAGCTGCAAAATAGAACTAGAAAAATATCAGCAAAAAATTTGAATAATGGATCTATAAAATAGAGAAAATTTATTCTAAAATTCGTGCTTCCGGTCTTCAGGGCGGTAAGGCGCTACGGGCGGTCCACGGCGCGGATGGTCCGCAGCTTGTTGCTGCCATCCGCGAGCTGCTCGACACTGAACGCCGGATCGCTGCGGGGCAAGCCAATAGAGAGTCGGTAATTCTTCTGTACAATAAATTATCTAGTAATGCACATAGGTGACTCTTGGAGTAATGTGAGACTATATAGGAAGTCATCTCTCATGCTCCAGTTCCGGCATCTGCATCAGGCGTATCAACATTTTTCTGAACGTGGGTTCTGCTGTTCATTGTAAATCCTCGCGTGCAGGCACACCAAAAATACATCAGTTATGACTTAGAAAATGTGTTTTTAGGATTAGTTTCAATATCATATGATGAGCAGTTAAGTACGACGGTAAAATCTTTCGATAAATTCAATAATCAGGTGGGAACTAAATATTCGTGGTGAATGAAGTTCTATGATTGTATACACAAGTACGACAAATTGTATGATAGCTGTCGATAATTTTTTAACAAGCGAGTTTGATGACAAATTTTGATCGAAGGTTATGCTGGAGTCGCTGGTGAAGCCTGAAGAAGTAATCATCCCTGACGAGGACTTAGATGACGAAGAAGGGGAGAGAGACGCCAGAGGTCTGGAAAAACGGCTTCAATGTTGCAAAGGAAAAAACTCTAAGGAAATAATCTAATAATAATATATAACTGATACATATTTTGGCGTGAATTCAACGAATTATTGATACACATTTTGGCATGAATTAAACATGAATATAATTTACGTATATCTCCTGGAGAAAATGTTTAAACTATGATCTTTCTTTACAAATAAATGAATAATATGCAATTATTCCTAGCGCAAGAAGAGGCGGAGCTGGGGATTGAGAAGCCTCTTCCCTACGCCGTCCTGTTCATCCTCCCGCACATCGTGTCCACAGACAGGGTGGAGGCGTTCCTGTCCCATATTGTCTCCGCAGGTCAATTACAGTATTACCCCAACAAGTCAGAAAACTTTGTAATTAAATGACTTTATCGTCTAGTAATTAATGTCTTACGGTTCTCGAGCATAAATAATAATATGTACATTTAAAAGGTTCAAGAGATAAGCTGGTTACATTAAAATTCAATGATCTTTTAAAGGTCTCAGCGGTCTAAAATGCTTCATATACCACTTTGTTCACATAGGGTGACTTGAATTGGGTTTTTAACACTTCTTAGCATATGAATCTGAATCATTATCACAAAATACACAAATCAATTAGCAGAAAATTACATTATTTAACTGCATACTAGATAAAGTAAACAGTTCTAGTATTACAGGATTAGTCATCATGGGCCACGTTCAGCTTGAGCCTCAACAGCCGCAGCTTCTTTCTTTGCTTCTGGGCGAGGAAGATGAAGAACACGAAGACAACGACCGACGTTCCGAAGCGGAATATTCTATCAAGCAGGTGATACGCTCGAATATTATTTTCTGGGTCCACTTGCTTAACGTAAATTTTATTTTAGTTAGTTTTTCTGTGTATGTATCAGTGCATTTACAGGCTATAGCTGGCAATTCAGAATACATTTAAAAAATTGAGTGCGTTGATTATTTGTGCGAGTAAATAGCAATATTTTTTAGTTTCCATGCATTAATATCATTGTGAAATCACGTATTGTTTACCGTGGCACTTTTTTAATCTGCTGAAAAATTACAGATTTATATATATATATATATAATAGTTTATCATTCTATCTCTTATTGATGTCAATTATATAGCTGCTACCCTCATTAGCAAGCATCGGAAATTAGCAGTACTATTATTATTAATAATGTTGATAATAATACCATAAATTATTATTATTATTATTATTATTATTATTATTATTTAGTCAGTAGCAGAGAATGCGAGCGCGGAGACATCGAAGCCGACAGACGAAGACGATCTGAGGTACTGGGCGGACGAGCTCACGAAGGCTCCGCTCTACATGTTGCTGCTGCAGTAAGCTACAGTAATATAATCATATTCATATAATATGAAAATATGATTATAATAATTTATATATAAATCATGTATTTTTTTCTTAAACTTTTCTGTCCTATTTATGGAAATTGATCTTGGTTTTTTTAGGAGTTAAATAGACTAAATACCGTGAACTTATCATCTGCTGGGCTCTTTTTAAACGACCCTTGTGATGCTGGGCTCTTCCTAAACGACCATTTTGATGCTGTTTTTTTTTTTAAACGACCATTGTGATGCTGGGCTCTTTCTAAACGACCATTGTGATGCTGGGTTCTTTTTAAACGACCACTGTGATGCTGAGTTATTTTTAAACGACCATTGTGATGATGGGTTCTTTTTAAACGACCACTGTGATGCTGGGCTCTTTCTAAACGACCATTGTGATGCTGGGCTCTTTCTAAACGACCATTGTGATGCTGGGTTCTTTTTATACGACCACTGTGATGCTGAGTTCTTTTTAAACGACCATTGTGATGATGGGTTCTTTTTAAACGACCATTGTGATGCTGGATTCTTTTTAAACGACCCTTGTGATGCTGGGTTCTTTTAAAATGACCCTTGTGATGCTGGGTTCTTTTTAAACGACACTTGTGATGCTGGGTTCTTTTTAAACGACCATTGTGATGCTGGGTTCTTTTTAAACGACCATTGTGGTGCTGGGTTCTTTTTAAACGACCATTGTGATGCTGGGTTCTTTCTTAACGACCATTGTGATGCTGGGTTCTTTTTAAACGACCCTTGTGATGCTGGGTTCTTTTTAAACGACCCTTGTGATGATGGGTTCTTTTTAAACGACCCTTGTGATGCTGGGTTCTTTTTAAACGACCATTGTGATGTTGGGTTCTCTTTTAAGCGACCATTGTGATGATGGGTTCTTTTTAAACGACCCTTGTGATGCTGGGTTCTTCTTAAACGACCCTTGTGTTGTTGGGTTCTCTTTTAAGCGACCATTGTGATGTTGGGTTCTTTTTAAATGACCCCTGTGATGCTGGGTTCTTCTTAAACGACCCTTGTGATGTTGGGATCTCTTTTAAGCGACCATTGTGATGATGGTTCTCTTTTAAGCGACCATTGTGATGATGGGTTCTTCTCAAACGACCCTTGTGATGCTGGGTTCTCTTTTAAGCGACCATTGTGATGATGGGTTCTCTTTTAAACGATCGCTGTGATGCTGGGTTTTATTTAAGCGGCCATTTTGATGTTGGGTTCTTGTTTAACGACCCTCATGATGCAGGGTGGACGATGATGCAGACGAGTATGGTGGTGATGAAGGCAAGAGTGTGGTGCAAGTGTGGCAAGAGTTGCTGGGGCCTAGCGACCTGCAAGAAGCTAAACTCAACCACCCCGACAGGTCAGAATTATGCTCGTTTGTGCAATTAATGTAGAGGAATTTTTTTCCAGATTCTGGAATGGTACAAGATTTTCAATTCCAGATTCGAGCACAAGAAATTCGAGTGATTTCGATAGAATTTAATAGAATATGGATGTACGAAAAATTGCTCTTGCATCAATGATGTTCATTTTGCGCAACGAAATCTTGAAAATCGAAGCAAATCGAACGAATATCCGTGTAAATTCGCGTACCATGTTTGTTTACGAGTTTGAACTTATTGATCCCATATCCATATGCTTATCGCCAATAAGAATTTCTGTGTAGAGAAATAATTTAAAGAAGTCTAGGTATCGAAAGAGGAACTGATTGACGATCGTGGATCCATTACTATCATAACTGATGTGTGCTTAACAGATGTTCTGTGATACGGTAAAATGCTGTAGTCCTTCTGACATCTGGCCAGCCAAGACGTATTTCCTATAATTTGTTTATACAAGAAAGCATATTTTGATGTTAGTTTTAATTGCAATAACTAATCTGTTATTTACAATAATTACAACACTTCTCTTTAACTTCACTTCTTGTTTGTGTTTGTCTGTCTGTCTGCTACAAATCTTGTAATCGAAATTTAACACACTTTTACTTATCCTATCGATCTGAAATTTTGCATGCTTGTTTAAAGTTGGAGACAATGCATGAATCAAATGTCAAAATAAATGATTTTAAAAAGTAAATTTTTTTTTTCAGTATCAAAAAAATTGAAAAAATAATTCTTTCAGCTACAAATCTTATAACTGATATTTGACACACTTTTACGTGTCTAATTGATCTGAAATTTTGCACACTTGTGTGAAATCAGAGGCAATGCATGAATCAATTAACAGAATAAATAATTTTGAAAAAATGTATATATTAAAAAAGTTATATATATTAAAAAAATTTTAAAAGTAAATTTTTTAAATTTTTGAAAATTAGATGAAAAATTCCTTCGTACATCAGTAAGATTGGATATACTGGATTCTTTGGAATTGTTGTCTTTAAAAAGTAATTTTTAAACGTATATTAGTGTACTAATATTGAAGGAATAACCGAAATTCTCGTCTCTCAGGCTGGGCAAATAATCATTCGCAATTGTCATCTGTAAGATATTAGAAGAAATTGTCGTCCCTCAGTCTGGTTGCAGAGTTCGGTGAAGAGCAGCACGCGGTGCCGGCGTGGCTGCCGCGGCAGCGTCGCCTGCAGGAGAGGCTCGCTGCGTTCGCCTTCCCGGCGCTCGTCTGCTGCGACGCGCCCAAGCTGCTGCTGCTGCCCGACGCCGACCACCGCGCGGTCAGAGTCCACTCACAATTTTTTTAATAGATAGAATTCGCAAATAAATTTAGATTTTTTTGCTGAAAATCAAAAAATAATCACCGCGCGGTCAGAGTCCACTCACAATTTTTTTAATACAAAGAAATCGCCAATAAATTTAAAATATTTCCGATGAAAATCAAAAGAAAACTATGGCGCAGCCAGACTCCTGTTGGATTTTTTTTTCTATAAATAAAGAAATCGCCATTAAATTCATAATATTTTCATTGAGAATAGAGCCGACCACCACGCGTCTGACTTCCGTCGGATTTATTTTTTATAAACAAAGGAAGTATCCAGTAAATTCAAGATTTCTGCATTGTAACTAAATTCTAATGAAGACTTAGTAAGTTTTCTTGGCGTTTTCTTTGCTTTCAAATTCCTGGTGAACGTGCGACCTACGCTGCCTAATGAAGCGAGATTATTTTATTTGAATTATTGTCATGCCAAGTGTTTTTGGTGGAATAAGTTTTTTCATAAAAATTTTTTTTGGGAATTGTCTTTATACTAGGTGAGACTTGGCATCTATGCATCATTTTGCTTGTTATAAACTCGCGCGATAATAATAAAAACCATGTGACCGGACGTTCACTACCTTAGCTTCAACGGATGGCCGCCTAAGGTTGCACGCTGGCCACGAACTTATTAAAAAGCTAGTTTTAAAGAATCGATAATGAAAACACAGCTTTCCAGTTCACCACTGAAGTTTCAAACGTTTATTCCAATAGAAATAAGCACTTTAAAATGGGCACTCTACAGTTAAGGTCACAGTTACGAGCAGCACAGCCACTGGCAAATAATTAATCAGCTCAGTCAGGGAGAGGGCTCACTGCAAGACAAAAACTTCATGCCAGATCGGCAGTTACTAGCTACCACTAGGAAGGTCAGTGCAGCAACTTAACCGATCGGCTAGCAGGACCCAACTCCCGTCTCATATAACAGGAATCGCCCTCGTCACCTCTCTCTGAGACAAATCTTCCCTGAAAGGGTCGGAAGTCTAAGCTACTTAACTGGCCTCGCTAAAAACCCATACATGTAGAATAATATATTACCTAGCTTAAACAAAATTGAAATTGGTAAAAAAGCCTAAAAAGACCGTGAACGATTCTCATTCGTTCACATCCCCCTCAACCAGATACCTAGTTCTACGTAGTGCAAAATTAAGTTACCTATCGCAATACATTTCATAGCATATTCTTCGTTGGCTAGTAACCGCAATAAACCCTAAAAAATTCAAGGATGGTCTAAAAATAATATTTATTTGATAATGATCTAAAAATATTTAACAAGTGGTTATCTAACCTGTATATGACCTTGCTATTCTATTCAATTCCGGTGGTAAAATCATCCGATCAGGAATGTGGTACTGCCAAACAACGCAGTACAATAATTACGTAAACTATAACCAATTGTCACTAATAGCTCTACACAACTATTCTGCACAAACGAGTTTAGAAATTCCCGTCTCATATAACAGGAATCGCCCTCGTCACCTCTCTCTGAGACCAATCTTCCCTGAAAGGGTCGGAAGTCTAAGCTACTTAACTGGCCTCGCTAAAAAACCCATACATGTAGAATAATATATTACCTAGCTTAAACAAAATTGAAATTGGTAAAAAAGCCTAAAAAGACCGTGAACGATTCTCATTCGTTCACAACCAGATTACATTTTTTTCGGAACTTATGAGTTATTTATTTTAATGAAATGACGGCTTAATTTTTATTAACGGACAATTTTTTGTAATTCTCAATTTAGATCAGAGATCGTTTAATGATTTAGGAAGTGATTTTTAAATAAAATAGCGAGTGCAATATAGAGAAGGATAAGAGTAACAGCCGGAAATGACACGAAACAATAGGAAACGACGATAAAAAGGTGTTATAAAAAATAATACGAAGGTGATAAATAAAAGGTGTACGATAAAAAGGTGTAATAAATGGGCTGGATCCTCATTACCTTTCGAGAAGCGGGCGAAATAGGCTGTAGCCGACGAGGCTGTTCATTTGGAAGACAACTGGATGTGGGAACTGCATTAACAGAAGATTATTATAAAATTTCGCGGTTGTACAAGGTCGGTGAAATGCAAAAAAAAAAAAACATTACGAAGAGGTTAATTCTCAAGAAACTGTTGCGGTACCATTCACTGTCAGCGAACGTCTTTCATCCATACCTTTACACTATATCATTCTCTTGTAAAAAGCAAGATATTTCTCCGCGATAAAACTCCATTTTATTATGTACAAGCTCTCCAATAAGAATTGAAACTAATTATTCTATATAAATATTCATGTGAATACATTGATGGCAGGTGCTGGAAAGCCTGTGTAGCGCTGGTGTTGAGGTGCTGGCACACACGCAGAGCTGCCTCACTCCTGCCATCCTGGCAGCCCTCAACCCTGCCGCCTCTGCCAGCAACATCACCGACCATCTTGGGTATTTTCTGCTCGAGTAGAGTTGCCAACAAATATATAAAAGTAGTTCTATTATAATTTCAAATTTTTCAAACATGAAAAATCATAGATCATGATCTCGGTGTTACTGTGTTGTAGAATTATGGAGTTAAACTGAATCATTTTGGTACGGTAACTAATAATCACTTTTATGAAGCCTAATGCCTCCAAAGACAATGAAAATGATAGAATTTATTAAAGAAGAATGAAATTTTTGATTTATTCGAAGAAAAATCGTCGCGTTTTACAATGGAAGTTTCATATTCATTTCAAGGAGGTTCAAATATAGGGCAGTTTTTGATGGTATATTAATGAGAATGACTTCGACAGCAAGCCTGTGTTCGCGGCTGTTATTTCAGCTGACAGCGTACCGAAGGTGAGAGTGAAATTTGACTAGGAACGAGCTATATTTTTCATTAAAATATTTTTTTTTACTCAAAAGTTTATTTTGCAATTTTGAAAATGCATTGACACATATGAAAATTTCCTGTAATACTGACATTCCCACCACAAGGTGAGAGCAGACCAGCTAGGAGTATTGCATCTCACGGCATCTCCCCAATGTGGTGTTGGTGTCGTGACACATGCTGGTCAGCAAGACACATCACAAACTCAGTCTCGTCCAGTATCATCTCGTAAAAGAAATGACAAAACTCCTGTTTTTATGGATGGTGAAGAAAATCAAACACCTCGAATCCCAACTGCCAATGAAATCGCTCTTTTTTTCCCGGATTTGTCGGCAGAGTTGCTCATGGCCAAGCATCTACAAGATGATCCTCAGACTCAGATGCAGATCGAGCAGAGCAAAGAAATCAGCAGAACTTAAAAGTTGTTTTTGGTTTCATTGGAGCTAGATGAATGTCGAAACATTCGAACTTGTATTATAAATTAAATCAAGATTATGCTTTTGTTTCATTGTCATATTATTATGTGTAAATGAATGCCCCAAATTTAGTGAATGGCCCTGGTTAAGAGGTCATTCCGACAATTCGGTGTGAAGTTTTCAATGAAGACAATTCTTCACTTGATGATTATTAATGGTAATGCTATAATTTTTTGACAGTTTCATGAGACGAACAAAAAAAATCTTGCTAATTTAAACCATCTTCAGTTAGTTTTTAAAAAAAGTCGTACATGAAATGTAGATCAGGCGATTAAGACAACCTGAAAGTGCTTTTCTTCAAGAACATCTTCAATTATTAGCTGTTTGTTGGTCTTGAACGGCTTAGAGTTGTAGGGCTGAGTTCTTTCATCTTTGCAGCCTTGTATTTCTTCCACTGAACGAAGTATCTCCCTCCATAACATTGGAGTCATCTTCAGCATTCACATTCTCTCGGTCGACGTTCACTCCACTGTTATCTTGTCACAATGTTCACTCCAGGCGACATGGAGTCACAATGTTCACTTGTGCAAAAATACGATGCATGCAACACTGAGAAAATCTTTGCAATAAACTCTTGGCGAGCAGATTTTCTGTTTCTTCATCAGTGTAATACTAAGTGACTTGTGTAAGTTCACTACGATGTTCAATGGCTTGGGCATTGTGTTGTTGTTGGGGGGAGGGGCGCAGCCGTAGGCCACAAATTTTACTCCCAAATAAGCCTGGAGCCAACGCCTAGCTTCACCATGCATTAACTTTACTCAGCCTCAGAACTAGAAGCCGCAGACTACGCTTGAACTCCGTAATCCATACAAGTGACACACTGCCGAAAGATAATAGCACTGTAGGTCTTCAGCCACTGCTTACGCATGCTCGCTCATTAGCAGGCAGTTCCCCATCCGGCTGTACCTACTCCGGCCTAACCTCTTCTGGCCTAACCTATTCACGCTGTCCCGGCTCACAACCTTCTTGCAGCCAATGACTGGCTCTACCAGCACACTTGGACCACCTTTCTAACTTCTTGCAGCCAATAAGGTTAGGTTAGGTCCGCTCAGGTTTGTTTTGGGTGGAAAAAGGTTGCAGCTCGTTTAGGTTAGGCCTGAAGAGGTTAGGCCAGATGTAGTATGGCCATGTTTACCTTTGGCACGCTTATTTTGTGGCTGTGGACATCCAGCGTAACGGCTTTGAGCACTTGACTTCATAGGCCGTTATGCACTCTAGCGTTCTTACCTATGGAAAGGAATATGTACTAAGTGTGAAGTATGGTAAAGCTGGCCTGGCAAAGCTGGCCTCCATCATGCGCCCCGTTGCTAGGAACCCTCGATTTACGCCAATCACACCAGAGATCAACGGAGCCTGGATCCAGGCCTCTAGAAAACGCGGATTTCCTACAGAAATGGTAGGAAAGAAACAAGCGACGAAAGGGGGGAGCAGCCGTAGGCCAAAAATTTTACTCATAAATAAGTTATGGACTCAACGCCCAACCTCTCCATTCATTAACTTTACTTAGCCTCAGAGCTAGAAGCCACAGATTACGCTTGAAATCCGTAATACAGACCATCGACGAACTGCCGAAAGATAATAGCGCCGTAGGTCTTCAGCCACTGCTTAAGCATGCTCGCTCATAAGAAGGCAGTCCTTCGTCCGGCTGTACCTACTTCGGCCTAACCTCTTCTTGCCTAACCTATTCACGCTGTCCCGGCTCACAACCTTCTTGCAGCCAATGACTGGCACCATTAGCACACTTGGACCGCTTTCTAACATCCTGCAGCCAATGAGGTTATGTTATGTCCACTCAGGTTTGTTTTAGGTGTAGGAATATCGCAACTTGTGTAGGTTAGGCCTGAAGAGGTTAGATCAGACGCTCTTTCGAGTTCCTAGATGCAGAAGCGATGAAGCAGTTGCTTGTTGTTGTAGTGCGCCCGAACCTAGAGTTTGGAAACGTCGTGTGGTCACCGAAATTTGAAAAGGACAAAAATTTGATAGAGAGTGTTCGAAGACGCGCAACAAGGATAGTTCCGGGCTTGAAAGGCAAGTCCTATGAGGAAAAATTAAAGATTATGAAGCTTCCAAGCCTCAGTTATCGACGTCTACGTGGGGGACCTCATTGAAGCATACAAGTATACTCATGGATTATACAAGGTCCCAGAAGGATTACTAGAATTTGAAACAAGAACCAACACCAGGGGCCACGGTTATAAACTAAAAAACTGCGTTGTGTCACATCCATGCGACAAAATTTCTTCTCGCTTCGAGTCACCGACATGTGGAACAGCCTCCCTGATAGCATCGTTGACGATAGACGAAGCTATGTAGGAGCATACATGTATGTTCAGTCTTTAAATGCCTAGCAAATTACGGACCAGGCAATAAGTCCAGCAGCTATCTCAATCAATCGTCAGTTATGGAAAGATCGAGTTCCAAAGGCCGGATCCCTTGTGAATCAAGTCACGAAAAATTCAAGAATCGGCAACAGGCCATGGGCCTATTTTCTTCAATGCCGACACTTCAATTCTATTCTATTCTAAGCCGGAAGAGGTTAGGCCGGAAGAGGTTAGGCCGGAAGAGGTTATGCCGGAAGAGGTTAGGCCGGAAGAGGTTTGGCTGGAAGAGGTTTGGCCAGATGCAGTATGTCCATGCTTACCTTTAGCAAGCTTGAGTTGTGGCTGTGGACATCCGGCGCTATGGCTTTGAGCACTTGACTTCAAAGGATGTTATGCTCTATAGCGTTCTTACACACGGAAAGGAATATGAGCTAAATGTGAAGTTTAGCAAAGCTGGCCTCCGGCAAGCGCCCCCAGTTAATGATGCGTCAAGTGATGCGTAAACGCAAGATGATCTTGATCGTTTAGTTGACGGGGCTGAAACGTGACATCTGCGTTTTAATGGGGGTATGTAGACGGTAGACCCGCCCGAACTCCGAAGCGAGGGTGATCGCGGACGCTGCCGTGACTACTAGTATCTTACGTCTGGCTGTGTGGTGTCAAAGGAATGTCATGCGAGCGCAGGCCTGCGTCTGGCTGCTCTACACTCATAGACTTGGACTCTGATAACCCTCCTTTCTCGTCTAAGATGTGCCAGTGTCTAACTGTAATATGAGCTTAGACTTCAAGCCAAATAGGCTGGCTGTTTTCGCGCAGTTACATGCTCATCTTCATCATATAAATACATCACATTCAATACCTAAATAATTTCGATGATATTTAATTCATAGAGTACAAATTTCTGAACGAAAAACATATTGTCACTAGACTATTAATTATTTTCTCTTTTCATTATGGCTTGAAAAACTCCTGTTTTTTCAAGATCTGGCAAGTGATTTTGATCATCTGGATTTTTACAAAAATAATTTCCGGTTGTTGAGCACATTTTATGATCACCAAAGACATGCCGCTGATGCCGGCGCTGTTCAAAATGTCTTTTTGCAACCCCTCGACTTTCTCCTTTTCTGAAACAATCAATTCTTTATGGTTTCTTATAGCGCCATGTATGGCATTTATCAAGCGCTGAGCACGAAACTCTACCAGTTTCCTTTGTTCCACAGAACCAAGTCTCGCTGCCCCTTTAGCTTTGAAGACATCATCTCTCAAATGTTTCTTGCAATTCCTAAAGATGTGATTTCGGCACTCAATTTTTTTAACCTCTGCAGGAGCGTAAGGCATGATTTCGAGCAGTTTCGGGTACAGTCACTAGACTATAGACTAGACCAGTGGTTCCCAAACTTTTTCAGGCTGGCGCCCCCTTTGGCTGCCTGGTGAATTTCTAGCGCCTCCCACAGACATGCGCCTCTTTCTTGAAATTTAGTACGCTGCAATTGTAAAAGATAAAGGTTAAACACAAATGTGTATTTCACAAATACATTTAGTGAACAATATGTTTTTCAGCTGTTTTAACTGTTTCAGCAATCAGCACTATAGAAACCTAGGACGTCGTGGGCGAATTTACGGCCGGACTCGTGGCCTGTCTCAAGACCTATCTCCAAATTCAATTATCAAGTAATATCTCCCAAACTAATGAACGCAGCTCTATGAAACTTGGAACACGTATTCATGAAAATCTAACGGTGATGTTTAGCTCGTATTTTTTTTAATTTCACCTTCATTCGTAAGTTACGCGTATATTGCGAAAATAGCCGAAATTGGCAGTGATCAAAGAATTTCTTCCAAACTATTAAACAGATTTGAACGAAATTTTGAATATACATTCCTGAGTACCAAACAGCGATTTTTAGCTTATAATTTTTTTCTATTTTACCTTCGTTTGCGAGTTTTTCACCGTCATCCTTGATTTCACACTTCCTTATATTCGGCCCACATCGCCGGGTAATTCGTTGCGATCAAAAAATTTATTTAAACTGCAGAACATATTTCAACGAAACTTTGTATATAAATACCCAACCTCTCAAGGGTGATGTTTAGCTCGTGACAATTTTTCTATTTTGCTTTCGTTCGCGAGTTATACAGAAATAGGAGGAACGACCGGCTTTTCTACCGGCCGGTTTAACCAAGAGCCTTGTACGTATAGCTATATAACTCGCAAACGAAGGAAAAACGAAAAAATTGTAAACATCACCGTTGCTGAGGTTAGGTATTTAAATACTAAGTTTCGTTCAAATCTGTTCAGTAGTTTGAAAAAATTTCTTGATTACTGCGAATTTAAGCACGTATTGCTGTTTAAATCACGAATGAAGGTTAAATGAAAAAAAAAACTCGCGAACGAAGGCACAATCGAAAAAAATTTCACGAGCTAAACATTACCGTTCGGTAGTTAGGACTGTAAATTAAAAATTTCCTTCGATTATGTTCAGTAGTTTGGAAGAAATAGCTTGATCACTGTGAATTTCGGCCCGTAATGCCATATTATAACTATGGTAAAAACAAACGATGGCAAAATTCAAACCATTTTCACGAGCAAAACATTATCGTTAGGTGCTAATGAATACGTGTACCAAGTTTCATCGAGTTATGTTCATTAGTATGAGAGATAATCCCTGATCAGTGAATTTGGAAATTGGCC